TTTGAAATAATCGTTTTGAACCAGATTCTCACTAAATTGTGATCTTTAGTTTAGTTTTGGCCTTTTTTTCTTTTTTTCCATTTGCCCATTTTTTGCAGTGTAAGTACCAATAATCAAAGCATTGCAGGGCTGTCTGTGTGTTTACAAGCTGTGTGTCTGCTTAGCGGGGCGTATTTGTACTGGTAGGTGTTTGACTTCACCATTATCTGAGCTGTGTGGACCGGTTCTGAGGATCAAAAGAGCAATTCATGCTAAACTTTGCTTTTCCTCTCAGAATAAGTACACAATGTTGTAAACAAACCAGACTCATTTGACTCTTTATAGATACAAAAATAGGGCAATAATCAACCAGGGCCACTGTTGTGGAGGAAATTGACTATTATCAGTAAACCTCGGTGAAATGTTCAGGAGTCTATAAATGCCTTCCATTACAGGAAGCAAGACATAAAGACCGCAGTAGTAATCTGAGTATTTCTTCTCAGAATAACTTATCGAGGTGTGACTGGTCAAACAAAAATCTTGCAAAATAAAACAAAAATATTACAAAACTTGTACAGACACTGGTTGCTATACTCTGCTGTGTGTTTGCACAGGGGAAGAAAAAAATACTATGCATACATTAAGTCACCGATACACAGGTTCCATCACAAAAACAAGTTTACAAGAACCATTTTCCTGCGAGAACACATTTCTCCCATCAGAACAGGTTTCTTCAGGTATGCAGCAAATGAAGTGGCAATACATGAAACTATGTTTTTAATTCACACTATAGTTAGTCTGGATGTTTGACTGTTGTTCTTCTTGAGCGATCATTTTAAAGCCTACACTTTTCATGTACTTTATTGCCTTTCGATATTTTCTTGCTACATTTTCTTGAAGCTCAAGATTTAAATGATGTAATTGTAGAAATTTGTTATCCTCCATTGTAACATTAATCAAAGCTAAATTATGTTATAAATACCAACCCAAACTGGGACTTTTGTTGTGTGTAAATAACCTTTTAGCTTCGAACTGTTCTTGATTAAAGAAGTTTTCAAACTTGTAAGTCTTAATTTTCATTCAACCTTTATTTATACAGGTTAGTCTCATTGAGCCTCGAGGACTCATTTACAAAAGAGACCAGTTTTTAACAAAGAATGATGACAACAGTAGATAATCATAAAAGAAAGCATATACATTGAAAAAGTAAATGGAAGAAAATTATAGTAAAGAATGAAACAAAATGGCTACATTGTAAAGCGATGTAAAATACTAAAAACAGGAACATGTCTGCGTTGGCTTTTGCAACCAATGCAAAAAAATTGAGGAAGTGGAAAATCTCTGTAGATTTTCTTACTTATTTCACCAGAAACATTATTTCTCAAAATCTATTTTTATTGAGCAGTTGTTGCTGCTAATTTGGGTAGTTTTACTTCTTCGTAAAATTTCTAAATGAAAGTAGCAGCAAAAATATTTTACTTGTAAGAATGACAAAAAAAAAAAAAATAAACAAAAAAGAAGGCTAAATGATGGTAGACATGAAACTTCTTTGTAAATGTGATGAGTTGACCTTTTGCACTTGTCTTTCCTCCTATTATCTCATTTTGATGGGCGCATTAGGCTGATTGCATAAATAGTTGCTGCTTGAAGATAATTTGATTTAATTGACTTGTGATTAAGAATCACATTAACAGTTTTAATTTACACGTAAACCAGCCTTGACATGATAATTATTCAGTTTGCACAGAGCAGGATGTAGCTGCTCAGTGGAACCAAAGTCACAATCAGCAGGCTGCTTTAATGTAATGTAGCTGGGAGGAATACCAGTGTTTTGTACTGTACTTCACCTATGATTATAGTCATCATGAGTCATCTGATTATAGTATGTATTAAACAAGTCATGATTATGGTACACAGTGACCACAAATAAACCCCATGCTCCCTATAAATAGATATCAGTATTGAACCAGTTGGGTGGTTGGATACATGAATACTGAAAATGTAGAATGTGTAAAGAAAGAATTACAAAAATGGTAGGTGTTGGAAGGACTTTGAGACATTCAGGGGACTAGCCCAGAAATGCATTTACTATGACAGATGCATCATTCTTATTTATTTAAAATTGAAATAAATACAGGCAGCACAGTGGAGCAGTTTGTAGAGCTGCTGACTCTCAGCGAGCAGGTTGCCTTGGTTCAATTCCCGGCTGGGGACCTTTCTGGGTGTATCATCAAAGTTCATGCTCAATAATCCAGGTAAAAAAAAATCCAGCAAAATTCAATCGGGTCATTTCGTTGGTTTCTTTTTTTTTTTTTTTTGACGTTTCATCCTTCATCTAAAGGACTTCATAAGTCCGAAGAGCCACAAACAAACTCAGTCCCACAAGCAACACACCCCCATAGTGGACCAACCAGTTTGCTGGTGATAAGATATTCCCCCTCTGCACCGTCAACTCCTCTGAGGCAGCCAGGGAGCATGCTGCTTGTGGGACTGAGTTTGTTTGTGGCTCCTCAGATTGATGAAGTCCTTTGGATGAAGGATGAAACGTCTCAACAAAAAAAAAAAAAGAAAGAAACCATCTAGATGACCTGACTGAACTTGGTTGGTTTCTGAGTGGAGTTTGCATGTTCTCTCTGTGCATGCGTGTGTTTTCTCTGGATACTCCTGTTTCCTCCCACAGACCAAAAACATGCATGTTAGGCTGATTGGTAACTCTAAATCGTCTCTAGGTGTGAGTGAGAGAGTGAATGGTTGTTTGTCTTGTTTGTCTCTGTGTCCCTGTGATGGACTGGAGACCTGTCCAGGTGTCCCTGTGATGGACTGGAGACGTGTCCAGGGTGTCCCTGTGATGGACTGGAGATGTGTCCAGGGTGTCCCCCGCCTCTCACACAGTGACTGCTGAACATAGACACCAGTGACCCCTGTGACCCTAAGTGTGTAAAGATAATGGATGGATGGAAATAAATACAAGATATGTTGTACTACTCATTTGCACATAATGTTTTTACAACGTGCTGGGTCCTTCTCCTTCATCATAAATAGATATTTATTGTATTAGTAAAAGTAAAATTTAGATTACATGAAACATTTTCTGTTTCTGGGCAACATCATTTTTTTAATTTATTTGCAAACTCAAGAGTTTTTTCCATGACGAGGGTTACTCAAGACTCAACAAAATGAGACATTTATGTTTGATCTTTTTGACACCTTCCTCTTTTTTTTTTTAAGTTTAGTGATTGAACAAAGTTATTTTTTTATACAGTATATGTATGAATCTCAATTTGTACGCATACTTTGTGATTGTCTATTATTGTCGTTGTCATCACTCTTTGTTAAAATCAGGTCTCTCTTGTAAATGAGTCCCCGAGACTCAGTGGGATTAACCTGTCTAAATAAAGGTTGAATGGAAAAAAAAAAAAAACATGTTTCAACTTTAGCTCAGGAAAAGCGCACCTCAGTTTCCATAAATTGTGTCAGAGATTGTTTAGAGACCCGGAGCCAATCTTGCTTGATAAATACAGCGTCTTTCCAAAAACTAGAGCATTTGGATAAAATGGCTCCACTTTCCTCCTGTTGCAAAAAGAAACAACTTATTTTCTTCCAGTCTCAACTACACCTCCTTGCCCCAGAAAAGACCTTCCAATATCTGTGACAAAACTGAAAGCACTTGAGAATAATGGCTGTCAGCATAGTTGGCTCTCACTGTTGCTCTGCTGAGCAAAAGGAAACGTGGGCCTCTACAGAGTCTGGCAGCGTGAAGCAGCTGCTGCTATGAAATACAGACAAACAGAAACACAGCATGCGTGTGTTTTGTGTAAACATATATTGTTTTGACATGATTATTTCTGGTGGTTAAATGCATGACTGGAATAAAACGGTTTTCTATTTCTTCTGTCTTGAGATTCAAAGAGAACATTCAGGGCTGCGCTGCCAGATTTAATAAATATGTGGGTGTATATATGATCATTAGACCCATAATTTCACTACTCTGATTCTTCTTTAATGGTATGTCAAATTATTCTTTTGTATTTTATTTTACAGTGTGTGAAGAGATGGGAAAAGAAACGGCCAACTTACGATTTTTACAGCATTTTTTTTATTTGCAACATTGAGATTTTTACTGGGTCCAAAAAGGAAACTCGTGACATTATCTAAGTCCATAAATGTACCTTTGGTAAATCGTGATGGAGCAGTTGTCGTGGAGATGATTCTAGTGTTCGATCAAATGGATGATGGACTTCAAACTGTTCACATTTGTAAATCATAAAGCTGTTTGGATGAGAATTCAGTAGCTACATAAGAAATAAATAAGTATAATGATGTAGATGTTGTCCTGTAAAAAATATTTTATTATTGGGTTAGTAAAGGCTCCTCAGCTGCCAGTGATCAGTACCTGCTGATCACATATCCAGTTCGACTCTATTAAAGTATGAAACATTTTATTATGTTTAGTAACATTTATTTGACCTCTGCCAATAAAAATGACCATGTATAGCCAGTATGCTTCTGCTCTTTTCATTGTTTATATCACATGTGTCAAAGTCAAGGCCCGGGGGCCAAATGTGGCCCCTGTTTACGTCTTATCTAGCCCCTAAGATGTTGTTTGAATCGTAAAATACTTTTATCACTTTAATTTTTTCAGTAATCTTTGATTATGATGTCAAAAGTGCAACAGAGAACGTCAAATGAGACCAATCAAACTCTTGTTGAGGAACTTGCAACCAAGAAAAGATGTTGGGTGTCTAACTAACTGGCCCTTTGAAAAAGGTTTTAATTTTTGCTTCTTTTTTTTTTCCACTTACCTCATCTCATGTACATTTTACTCTAGTTTTGTCTTGGTATCTCCTTCTTCAAGCTGAGGGTGCTGAGGCGCTATCATTGAAATAAAAATAAAAAAAAATCAGCATTTGATTCAATAAATATTTTCAATTAACAATATTTAAATATCACTATTTGTTTTTCTAGGTTTTATGCTTGCTGAAGCTGATTAATAATGTGTTATTACTCTGTTCTGTTTCCAGTTGATCGGTGGGTGTATCCTGGCTATCGGCATCTATGCAGAGGTGGAGAGACAACGCTACAAGACCCTGGAGGGAATGTTTTTGGCCCCAGCCATAATCCTGATCCTGCTGGGAATTGTCATGTTCATCGTTTCCTTCATTGGAGTTCTGGGTTCGTTGAGGGACAATCTCTATCTACTGAAGGTGGTGAGTGCTGAACCATTAGATGAGTACATTTATATTTGTTCTAGGGATTTTAGGTTCAATATTGTTTTCTTTGTTGTTTATTATTAAACGTTTATTATCAAATTTTAGGAACAATTCATTCTTTTTATCCTGTTTTTTTACTTCAAGGTTGTTACAAATAATTACTGCTAATTATAGACAAGTGTGTCGTGTTTATTGTGCAGCATCTTTCTTATTAATTCAATAAAATCAAGAAATTGGTGCACAATTTTACAATAGTCAAAAATATACCGGTCATACAATCAGCATTTGGTCATGTCGACAACATGTTGTGCCTTTCAGCAAGCTTAGAGCAAAATTATTTAATACTTCAAGTGAAAAATAAATGCAGTTGTTGATTCTCAAGTGCAGGATACTTAGAGGGGCTTTTGAACTCATTTCACATATTTTTAAAGACAAAGAGTTGTTCTGCACAATAATTAAGAGTCATATTTATTATTAGAGTTTAGTGCATATATTTTAATCATCCAACTGTATCTGGCATCATTGTGGACAAACAACCGAGTGTCTCCTCTGATTCTCTGCTTGTTGCAAAATCTGCAAAAAACCTGCTTAGACCAAAACCAGTACCCTAAACTGAAAAGGCTGCTCATAAAATTCTCTATATTTTAGATAAAAGCGGCCCATTTAGATTCGGATCAGAACCTTCTCGCTACAAGAGGCTTTTATAACTAAAGAAGGTGCATATTTCAGGGTTGGAAATATCAGAACTTTACTTCCTCTGAAGCAGACGTGTGTGTGTGTTTGCACTCGTACCCAGCAGCAGAAGAGAAGCTGTGCACTTTGATGGGAACATCAATGCACATTTCAAATAGCAAGAAGCTGTTTCCTACCGTAATGACAGTTTGGGTCTTTTTCAAGCCCTCGGCTATCGGGCTACATACATCGTTTGGAAGATGCTTTGTGTGAGGAGAAGTTGTGTACTGTCCAGAAAAAAATGTTCAAAGACCACACTGAAAGTTGGATAATAACGTGGCATGACTGTTTGTGAGGGGGTATATAACTGTAAATCTTTTGCTAACAACTCTGTGTCATTTAGGTTGAGCAAATGTTGCTGTAGTAATAGAACTCACACCAACCTAGCTGAATTGTTGTCTGTAAATAGTAGGTTCTTTATTAATCAAATATTTTTGTAGCTCCATGGTCAGTGTCGTAGTTTTATAATTCTGAGAATGCTTGTTCAAGTCAAGGTTGCGTCAAAAAAGCCATCTGGCTTAAACACATGCTAAACTTTTCATGCAAGTGTGCACACCGGCCCCTCACAATGGGAGCAGCTGTATTTTTTATAACTATACTTACAAATCTGTAAATAAAGTTTAAGTATACACTAGTTTTTGTGTTTGAAAAATAATCAAGAAAATCAGTTTTTCTTTTCTTTTCACTTTTACTACAGCAGCTGTAAAATGAATTTATGTTAAAACAATTGAACAACTAGCTCAGTAAGAGCAGAAACATCAGACGACTAAAGTTGTCTGTGAAGTTTTAGAGGAGGCAACTTTTGTTTCAAGTTCTTTAATTTGTTTAAAATATATATATCATGTTATATTAAGTCCTAAAAGTGCATGAAGAGAACATTTTATCATTTTTGTACCAAGAAAAACATTTGAGAAACATGTCAGTGGAAAAATAATGTAGAAGTTTGCTTTTGGTGTTTTGCTGCTTTTTTTTCCTCGTTAGCAACCAAAACTGTACGACAGAGCTTTAGGGCCACGCTAGAAAAAAATAAAAAATAAAAATTGCGTTGCCACGCTAAGAAAAAAAACAACAATTAAAAGCCATAAAATTACAAGAATCAAGTTTTACTATTACGAGAAAAAAGTTGAATAAAGTCTTAATATTATGAAAATAAAGTCATATGAGACATTTGTTTTCAGCTCTCGTTTATTTATATATATATATATATATTTATTTTATTTTTTTCTCCACAAGTCGGATCCACAACGCGACCTGTCAATCAATCCAGTAGGCGTGTCAGCAAATGACCAATCCGATGCTAATGAGTCGTAATATTATTTGAACTCCGACACAATAAAACAGGTTTACCTCATTTTAACCGTGGTAAAATGAAGAATGTTGAGCATCTTGTTAAGTTATACTTTGGTATTGGTTTTACAAATAAGAAGTTAATCTGTTAGCACATAAGCACCAGATTATTATCAGTATCAGGACTTTGAACCTGCTTACAAACCTCTTAGGTAATCCTTAGATAAATTTAAGATTATTTCTCGCACCAGAGCTTTAACTCTGGGATCTTTGTATTTATCATATGAACAGGACTCGTTTCAGGTCCTTCGCTTAGCCTTTTTTTGTTGAATTTGTCTCTGGACTTTGATTAAACCATTTCAAAACATTGACCTCATTCTTTGTCAGGGTCACTGTCTCTCTTGGTGGCTCACTTTCTCCTGAGATTCAGTTCTCAATATGAAGTCCTGACATTTTCATGCAGAAATTACTAGTATTTTTCAACATTTCAGTTCACTTTTATTTACAGTAAATGATGACAAATCATAATGAAATCTGTCTCACGGCACTTTCTAAAGAGAAACGACTAATTTAGTTTGAGTAAGAAAGCGTCGGGGCAAACGGGAAAGAAGCCTGCTTGTGTCGCTGAAAATCCATTGGGTTGAATAAATGTATTATTAAAACACGAATGTACTTGAAACGTAATGCTCTCTGATTTATCACAGTCTTTTACAATAATAATAATGCACACACTGATGTATTGTGATGCTCAAAATTAGCTGTGAGGTTCCTCACAGTACAGCTGGAGGCTAAGGTACAACCATTAGAGTAAGTAAAACAAGTCATTTCTATAAATTACAACAAGATGGTATCTAAATGTTGGTAAAACATGAAACTGATTAAGTGTATCTAATTTATAACAGTGTATTGATAGTTGGGAAAAGTAGTAGAATATGATCATTTTTATTAATCACAACAAGTTTATAATTGCTCTTTCTGTTTTGTCCCAGTTTATGTATACTCTGACTGTGTGTCTGATCCTGGAGCTGCTGGGAGGAATCTTGGCTATTTTGTTTCGTAACCAGGTGAGTTCCACCTGAAGTTTGAATCTGTATCAGTGAGCAGGAAATGTTTCAGCAGATGAACAGTGAGAGAAAAGAGGAGTGGAGCTTAACCTCATGTAGCAAGAAACATGACAAGCAAATTGTGTATAACAGCAAAGTGAACACATCATTTGTGTCGTATCAGTGTTTGCTTCTTTCCTGGCGTGTCTCTCTGCCAGCCTCTCCTCTTTATCTTTCACCTTTCTAATGTCATTTACTCATTTTATTTCAGTTTTTATAAAAGATATATAGTTCTAGCCTATTATTGTCACCAATTTTTTTATCACCAAATTTGATGAGTTCAAATATTTGATTATTTGCTTCTAAAAAAAACCCTTTTATCACAACTAATTGTGATCAAACAAAAACTTTATATTGTTTTTTAAAATGGACGAGAGGTGATTTTATTTGGTAAAATTACTAAAGGTGTTTGAAATTTAATAAATCGGTTCTCTAAATCATAAAACCATCTTTCTAATTCTGTGGTTTTACGTTGAAGAGACGGCTCATGGCAGTAGAAGCAATCCAGTATAGTCTTTTTAAAATTATCTCCATGAAACCAACTATTCTCTGGTCTGACAATCAGTTTGATTCTTTTTTTCTTTTTATGTTTTGATGCATTGAGACATAAATAATGCAGAACTGCGTGATAACTGTGTGTTTTAAACTCTAGTAATGTTTGGGTAATGAGTGTATATGCACAGGAAGAAAATAAATGAAACATTTAGCTGCTTTATTATAAACTATTTTTTCAAGCGAGGCTATCTCAGTTCATTATTGTAATCTGTCAAGAGAAACCTGATTGCACCAGAATAAGTTAATGTCACGTATGAACAGTGTCTGTGTTGCTGTTCTCTCATTTTACTGTTAATGTGTTGACAAAAAAATACACAAAAAAGCAGCCATCAAGGAGTCTCATCCTTTATTTTATACATGCGATAAACAGATGTTTGCAGCAAACCTTCTGCTTTATGTCCTGCGTTCACTGCACTGCCCAGTCATTGCTCTGAAATATTTCCAGCTGTGGGAACATGTTTTCAGCCGAGACTCTTCACTGTGCAGCGCCTGCATAAAGAACAGCTGCAAGAGTCCGAACCTAATTGTTTGAATAATCTTATAACGCCTTTAGAAGAACTAAAAGCCCATCTCTCCAAAAGGGCATGATTGAACATTGTTTTTATTAAAATCATTTAGTCTTCATGTCTGTGTATATTCTGAGACATTGAAGTCATGTGACCTCCTCTACTCCCTCGTCTGCACCAGATTGTGACTGACAGATGTGAGCGGTCAAAATGTCACATTTTAATATTTCCGTTCAGAGTCACCTTCACCAGTCAGCGTTTCCTGTCCACAGCTGCCTGACTGCAGATCAGTGTGTCATGAAAACTGAACAAATGTGACAACATGACCTCATACACGTTATTAACACACAATAATGACTTTTTATTATGTTTTCCTCTTCCTGACAGACGACAAAATTACTGAACAAGAACATCCAAAAAGGCATTGTAAACTACTATGATGACCTGGACTTCAAAAACATCATGGACTACGTTCAGAAGAAGGTATTGTACACTCGATACTTTATTTGATAAGTTATAAAGTAAAAATATAAATCTATAATAGTAATAGGGACAAAAAAGATATTTAAGGCATGTTGCAAATGGTCAAAGCAGCTCACACACATACACACGGCGAGTTCTCTCTTCCAGCTTTGATAAAACACTCAGGGATGCAGAGTTCAGGGACGGCACTCTGATCACACATCCAAACCAAAGAGCAGCCACCAACAAACCCCACTGATTGGCACCAAGGAGGAAAATGCTCCTTTATTTTCCGGGTGCAAGCATGTGTGATGAAGAAAAATAAGATGTGACCAACACCTGTACCGCTGGAGCAAAACTGTACCTTCATTAAATGGTTATTCGGATGCTTAAAGCCCAGATGAGGTGATTTGTACATTATTAAATCAGTACTAAAGTCTGTGCAGTTTCAAGCCTTTCTAAGTACGTACTGTATTTGTGATTGGAGTGCACAAATCAGGAGCTTTGAGCAGGAAACTATTCTTGTAAGGCAGATTTTTCACTGTATATAAGTGATGTGCACAAAGCTGTAATGAGACCAAACTCAACTCCCCGCTGCACTTACAGCTGCTGAAAGTCGTCAAGCAGACCATTGAGACCATTAGAGGCTGGAAAGCACTCAGCCAAAAACATCTTGTCCTTCTGTTGGTTACTGTTAACTAGATTTAAGTATGACTGAGAATACTGGAGCCTTTCAGTGCGAAACTTCTTTGTTAAATTACAGTTGTTTTTTCCATTGACAGGAATAAGTAAATCTTTTTAAGCAACACTAAACCAGTCTTCTTTTTTTTTTGTGTGTGTGTGGGGGGTGGGTCTGAAAGCCAATTTACAGTAACTGTTTCCCACAGTTATCACAGGAAATGTGGCCATTTCAACAGCAATAAGTCATCAATATCTGAAGAATGACTATTTTATCAATGCCGTGGGTGTCGAGATGTGCTTGTCCTCGGATGTTGTTAAGTCTTCAGAGAAGTGATGGGCGGTTAAATGGAAAGAAGCAATGGACACAGTGGACGTTAATGCAACCATACATTTTTAATGACTATGGATCTAATGAACCTTTTAATGACAATATTGTTTAGAAATGATCTTTTCTTATAAGCTACTTTACAAATATTGTTATGATGGAGGTACAAAGCAAACAAATGGCACAAATAAAATAAGTCATTCTTACTGTTTTCAGTTATTTAAGACCGTTTCAAGTGGAAGCAGACTCGTGTAATATGCATTGATAAAACAAAGCACATCACCATCACATCATCAGTAGCAATAAAATATTTAAAATAATACTTAGCCAGAACTAACATTTTAAAATTGTCATTTTTTGAAAATGATCTTCTAACCTCAAGGCGTTTTCTACAAACTTGTCGGTCAAAATTGTTCAATAAAACAACTTTTTTATGCACTCTGACACAAATGGATCTCCTCCTTTTCTCCGTTCTCATCATCGCACTAATTTTCATTGGCTCTTTTTTAAAACGTATATATGGAAACATGCAAATTTTGCTTTAGTTACTAATACTATTTTCTGCACAGATTTTAGTGTTGTATGGCTCACTACAGTTCTTCGGTGCAAAAGGTTTGAGCCACTTTTCATTACTTTATATTTTCGTTTTTGCTCTTTGGGAATCACCGTAGAAGAGCCAGAACACTTTGCCGTCATAATGCAATTTCTTTAGTCGCTGGCTTTGTAGATGCAATTAAAACGAATAGAAACAAATTGTGTTTTGGTAACAGACTTCAAGTAACGAAGTGCCTTAAGATCCCAATTCACTTAGCTCTGTTGCATGGAAACACAATACAAGTTTGTGTATTGAATTTAGAAACCAACATACTTTGACTGACTTTCAGAAATCTTTAAACTTTTGCTAAAGACCACTTTAAAATTTTGAAATCAGCCTCCCTGGAAACAAAATATAAAAAATGAGAGGTTGTTAAAAATATAATATAATTACATTGTGCAAAATACTCGAACCGTTCCTTTTTGTCATTTGTATACTGAGTAAACTCTCCTAAATTAATCTGCACACACTTGTAGCTCCTCTGGCATTTTGAAAAATGAAAGTACTGCTGTCGTTAATAATAGTAATACGGTAATAATACTTGATTTATAAAGCCCTTTAAAACAACCAAATTTGTAACATATTACTGTACATATAAAATCAAAAACATTTAAATGCATAAAAGAATAAAACAGTTAAAACATTAAGATCAATAAAATCAATAAAAACTGTGCAGAGATAATTTCAGGCTAATGCTAAAAGCCAGGAAATTAAAAATAAGTTTTTTAACAATGGACGGTGAAGGAGCTCGTCTGATGGGGAAATGGAGATTGTTCCACAGTCTTGGAGCAGCAGCAGAAAAAGCTCTGTCCCCTCTGAGCCTCCGTTTGGACCTCGGCACCTCCAGGAGCAGCTGATCAGCTGATCTGAGGCACCGAGCAAAAGAGAATGGGTGAAACGGCTCAGAGAGGAAGGATGGAGCAAGACCATTTAAGCTTTTAAAAACGAATAAAATAATCTTAAAATGAACTCTAAAATGATCATGCAGCCGGTGGAGTGAAGCCAGAGTGAGGGTGATGTGCTCCCTCTGTTGAACTCCAGTTAGAAGCTGAGCAGCAGCGTTCTGGGCCAACTGGAGACGACTGAGGGAGGACTGGCTGAGGTAAAGAGCATTGCAGTAATCCAGCTGAGGTGATGGATTACAGTTTCCAGCTGCTGCTGTGTGAGGATAGGCTTTACCTTGGCCTATCTTGGCCTTGACCACCACTCCAATCTGGGAATCTAGTTTAAAATCACTGTCCCATTTGAAAACCCAGGTTAGAAACAGTTCTCTTACCATGCGGTTCCAGAGAGCCAAGATCAACTGGGGAAGGTTCACAGGAGCCACAAAGACCAAACACCATCACTTCTGTTTTCTTTTCATTGAAATTTAAAAAGTTTAAGGACATCCAGGCTTTGATCTCCTCAAGACACAACAGAAATGGTCTAATTGATGGGGCATCTTTCTTTATTAGTGGCATATATATCCAACTATTGTCAGCATGGCAATGATAAAAGATACCATGCTTTCTGAGGATTGAGCCCAAAGGAAGCAGGTAAAGGGAGAAAAGCAGTGGACCTAAAATAAAGCCCCGTGGAACCCCAAAACGCATTGTTTAACTTTGCAGTTTCATTTCTGCTTAACTCTGGGGTTTTTTTTTTTTTATGCTAACACAATATATATTATCTCAGACTTCTGCCACTTTAATCTCTATTGTTAGTGCATTGGATGTGGCTTCACTATCACCTGAGCTGGGTCACCTGAAGTGTGGAACATCAGGTTTTGGGTGGGAACCATTATTAATGACAATGTCAATATTCTAAGAGAAACTAGCAGAAACATCAGCCATAATATGTTTTAGGTTAGACATTTGTATTCTTGTAATGTTCGAAACATTTGTGGTCAGATACAAAGGGTTATTTTTCTCTTTGAAACTGCTGCATAAAAAGTTGGTCACATTCATGTCTGCTGTTGAAATGAAGTGTGGGATTATGCCTCCAGTCTCTACAAAGTGTACATCTGCGGTAAAAGTCAAGGAAAAATGCAAGAAATTATGGTCTGATGGGTTGTCTCATTAACAGTTTCTGCTGGAAGTTTTACACTTGCCACAAAAAATAGACCCCACTGAGCCGAAAAGCTCCTTGAAATTCATTTTTAATGGCAGCAAGTCTGTTTTTGATGTACACTGGTTTTGAAACTAATTAAATTGCCCACAAGTAATCATGTTTTAGGACTCTGAGAATCCTGATGATCATTAAATCAAGTCACTAATCTGCTGGAAGGCTACAGGTGTTGGTCATTATACACATTTCAATTGTGGTCTTCCATCTTGGTCCTCAAGGGCCACCGTCCTGTTTGTTTTAAATGTTTCTCCACTTCCACACACCTGATGAGTTAGGACCAGGCTTCTGCAGAACTTGAAGACCTGCTGAAGAGCAGGAAGCATCATGCGTCCCTTGGCCTGTGTCTATCAGTCCTGCATGCAGTTTGTTTGTTGTTTGTAATCGGTGCATGACCATGTGATCTTTAATAAAAGCCAAAAGAGGTTTTCAGCATCTGCGTGTGCGAGAGCATCATTTAGTCTGAGCCCAGGTGTGCATCTGCTCTGAACACTTGAATTACAATCCTTCCAACAAGTCAGGTTTCATAGACCTGAATTAAAAAGTCTTAATATTATCATATCTGAAAACTGATCTGAGTCTTTGAAGAGCTTCTGTCAAGGTCAGAAGAGTTGACATTTTACTTTAGAAATGTGTTTTTAATCTTCCATTGCAGGTTTGAAGAATGGAGTTAAATGTGGGATTTTAGAGTGCAATTAGAATTGAGCTCAAATTAAATTTGAAACTAGATGACAGAGCTTCTTCTGGTTATTCTCAGTGAGATTCAATCAAAATGTTTAGACTATCGCCTTCCTAGCCTCTTTGGGCCGTCATTTTAAACCCAACTTTTATCTTGAGTCGTATGATTATTAGAACTTTGTTTTGAGTTAAGCAAGTACTCCATGTAATTTTAGTCTTGTATGTAATAAATATAGATATGTAAAGCAAGTAAACAAGAAAGGGTTTTTCAGGCATTAACATAATTTGTAATGCTTAGTAAAATAAAAAGTAAAAATACTCTACAAGATTAAGGCATTCAGAAGTATCTATTCAAGCAGGAATAAAGTACAGAGTTGACTGCCACATTTAGTTTGCCATGTCTCCCTCTCAAATATTAGCACTGCTTTGGTGAACAGTTTTCTACACTTGTCAAATAAAACAAGTCAGTGTCTTACCTGCAGCAGTCAGAACAATCTGTTTGAAGAATCTTGGAGTTTATTTATTTTTAATTACTTGTTAGAGGGGCTATTAAAAAGTACATTTCCTCCAACCTAAATAACTCTCCTCAAAATGCTGGTAAAGATTCTCAGTCATCCAGGACATGATAAATTCAAAAAACAT